TATCAATGGTGTGCCACAACATCCCAGAAACACTTACCCCTCCAAAGAGGCCCAACTGCCAGTCTCTCACAGATTGCTTAACACGTCCAGTTCATTAAAAAGAAAATGATCCAAGCCCTCCCATCAAACCCTAGAACACAGAGAGTGAACATGGAATAGGATCAGCACTGGCCTATATCCTTTGGACAGCTGTCAGCTCACCAGCTATCCCTCTCTCCTTAGACTGCACAGAAAGTCATTAACTGATTAGACTTTGTGTTGGGTTAAATTAAGAGAGCTCAGAGTTCCAGAGGGTAGTTGATTTGTAGACACATTTTTCAGTGTGCTTTGCTTTGTCTGCTAGTGTAACAGATTCAAAAGTATAGTTTATGCTAATTTCCAGTTCTATATCTTTGTTTCTTTGACTTTAGCGGGGTAGCGTGATTTGATTTCCAGTTGGAAAGGAAATATGCATCTATCTATAACCAGCCCTGGTGCAGCTGTTCAGTTCATCCTGTCTAAAACAAGCTGCTTTAGCTTTCCCTTTAAGCCAGCTTTCTTTTGATTAGCTGCCTCGTGTAAACAGAAGGTTTTAACTGTTTAGTGGTTGTGCTCACAGCTGTGGCTGTGAGGACCATATTAACAATATCACCTGTTTTTGATGTTACACAGACCTAATGGCATTAAAAACTGTTGAAAACGGAGCCTTTAGGGCAGACTGAAGACTGTGCTTTTGGCACAAAGGAGTTATTTGTAATATACTGACCTCATTATTTGGAACTTGGGCCATATTTAATATAAGAATCCACTATTGAAACAGCGTCTGTCTGAGAAAAAACGGGGAAATAATAAGTCTACTTTAAGCTGTACAACCAGAACAATGTCAGCGATGGAACAGAACTAAAGGCAAGAGCTTGGACCTTCAGTATGTAATGTCTATCTGCAGGAAATCATCTGATGGAGCACCAAAGACTGTTTATTCTAGGAGAACAATTTTAGTAAGGCCGACTTTAGGTACAAATCCCAAAATGAAACTTGTTTCAATATCTTCCATCCAGAAATTTCCTATAAATATAATATACTGTGATGTTTGATTTCATAGTTTCAGGTAAGCAGTGTCTCTAAAATAATCAATGATGCTGCATTCAGTGCCTGATTCACATACAATAAATCACACCCAGAGAACAAATTTATAATCAGGTGAAATGTTTGATATGCACTGCACAGTGTACACGGCACAGAAATGAGTATTTAATCTTTTTCAAGTGCAGAACTGAAATGTTTTTTTGTGCAACATTGATTCATTGATGTGAGCTTCTTTGGGGAGCCTCATTTGCCAGCATTTAACTTAAAAGTTCAGCAGCTTGTGGAGTATATTTTCGTATGATTTGAGCTCGCCAGTATTTCACACTTGAAATCTGAAGGTAAAAATCAGATTTTCTTTTTTTTTGGTGGGGGGTAGTTTTTAGCCTTTATTTGGTAGGGCAGTAGAGAGCAGACAGCAAAGAACAAGGGGAATGATGCAGGAAATAGTGGGTGGAATCTAACCAGGAGCTCTACTTTTCACATATGCTCAACCAGGGGTGGGCGATATATCCAATACACTCGATGAGTATAAAGACAAATCCCTTCTGTCTAGATTTGCAAGTATTTATTTTTGTCACACAGCTTCTAGCAGTAAAGTTTGAAAAATGTCTCCAGCACCAGTTCAGGATAATGAAGTCCTCAACAGTCTGAAACTCAGCCTTAACTATAAGCTAATACTGTATGCACAAACCATGTGGGGTATATTACTTGTCTTGCATAAGCTCTTGTACTCAGTATGGTTGTCTTGTTTTCACACTCTGTTGGTTGCCTTCCTTTAGCTAAGTAGGTTGTCAATAAATGATCTCTGCCTTTCTTTCTCACAAGAATATAGTGTTCCCCGGACACGCTGCTTAGGTTTATGTGCGGCTCTGCGTATTCATGATGAAAGTGGATAAATTTTGACATTCGGCTGTTTTATTGGTAATTTAACGCTATAAATGACAAAAGTTTGTTTAGCCTTTTTCTGCTGTGAATGTTTTTGATGTTTTAAGCGACGTTTCTCACTTATTTGTCTTCATAATAACATCATCTGTTTAAATAGCTGCTTGGCTGGCTGGGAGAAAAAAAACAAAGCAGCCAAATTATACCATATGAGGCTAATTCATCAGGTATATCGCTCTTATACTTACTAAGGCAGGCCACACAAGCTGCTGTAATTCACAGAGTAAACACAAACAGACACTCGCCTACTCACGTCGATTTATGGTGTTGTGATCATCGCTTGACCTCATTGCTAAATGCAGCTTTCTGCCTGCATTTAAATGAGGCACACTATTATCAATATTGATGACAGTTCATGTCTCTGTTGACTTAATTTTCTGCTCCCACTTAAAACCATGTGGCCCAAGTCTCACTGCCAAGCGACACAGTGCATAAACTTGGGAGGGCTTGTAAGAACCCCTGTAGAGGACACATTGCCCTCAATAAATTGGCAAGGAGTGCAGGTCATCACAGTTTGAAGTTGGTTTCGACAAATCCCTCTTCCATCCATCTGTTACTGTCTCTTTCCTCAAATATCAAACAGATGTGGAAATTAACATTCATGCATAATCTCAGCCTTGTGTACAATGTCTGGAGCTGTTAATTATTCCCACACAGACACTCGAGTCCAACTTTTATGCAAACTTTTTTTTTTTTTTTAAAGGGGAAATATTCTCAGAGCTCCTTTGTCAAACACTTTATTGAGAATGATAATCTGTGATTTGAATTCTTGGAGGTGGATGAGGTTGCAACATCTTTACTTGATAAACTGTCATTGATGGTTTTTGTTTGTTTTGTTTTTTTGAGATCATTGACAGATACTGCTTGTGGTGTTATTACATCTTTCTTTGACTTTTCAGTTTTGAAATCTTGATTTCGATGGCAGCACCCTTTGTTCGGCTACGGAGTTGTTCCTTTAATTATGCAAGACAAGTTCTTCTGTCATGCTAACAAACGCACAACAACAAATGAATCACTTTCTGTTTACCACCCAACTTTTTTCCAAAGGACGTGCTCTCTGTACATTTGAATGTTTTTAGCACCAGGTGTTCAGGTTGATAAATGCAGCAAGTATTTGTACTATTTAAGTATTAAGCATTTGAATGGTACAACCTGGCACATGCATCTGTTTCCTTACTCTGTGTGCTTTAGTGCAGATCTGCTTGCAGGTCATGTTAACATTTTCTGATATCTGTTTAAAAGCTGCTTTTAAGCAGTGAGCCTTTTGAGCCATTTGAGCCTTTGTGATAATGGCCCAGGAAATTTTCCTGCCTTTCTCGGACACTAACCCACACCTAAGCCCAACAGTGTTTGCCAGTATTGAAAAGATGCCTGATGCAGACAAGGTCCCGTTATGTGATTGATTAGAGAGTGCATTTTCATCTGTGAAAATTACTTAATAAATCTTTGAGGCTCTCCAGCTTGGGTTTGTGACTTTTCTCACATTGATTCTCAATTTCATTTTTTTACCCATTACTATTCATTTTTTTAACTTTACCAATACATTGCAGTCTGCATAATGAAATGTTTTGTCATTGTAGCTTAACATATCCATTCTTAAGTTATATTTGTATTTATTTTCCAACTTCTGAATTGTTAAACCTTTTTACCCTGAGACCTAAAAGGCTGACTGGGTATTGCCACCACGCTGCATGGTGGGTGGGCGCAGCTTGGACACCAAGAATCACAAAGAAATAGAAAGTTATGGGAGAATTCAAAAATACCAAAGATAGCTGTCACTTCCAAAAAGCCAATCATCTTCTTTGTAGCAGAATCTGGAAACATATTAGCCTATTCTGTTGTTGCATAAATTCCCACAAGTGAGTTTCCTACACTTTCAACTCTGTGGCGGCAGACATATCTACTCTTTACCATAATAGAAATCCATGTGAATGTTTCTTTTGATCTAATATCACAAGTCCCGGTCACCATTGCCTTTAAATGTACAGCCCTGTCACAAATTATCCAGGTATTAGCTTGGGCCTTTTAACCAGACAGACAGGTGTGGCAATTCTAAACATTTATGGTCCTGACCTATAACTCACAATTGATTCTCCGTATGAAGCACATAATCCTGCTGCCACTCTCTCACTGGTGCAAACAGAAATGTTGAACGTTCTTGCTGCTTCACTGTTTTCATTTTTTTTGTTTGTTTGTTTTGTGTTTTTGCCTTTTTTGTTTTGTTTTATTATTTGATGGTCTCCACCTTTAGTTCCTCCTGTAAAAGCATATAGTTGTATGTGAGAGATGTTCACCCTGCTCATCCTCATTACATTTCATCAGTTTCAGGCTCTCTTTGGTGGCTCATGAGATTATGGAAAGTCTTTAAAGCCTCCTCATATTTCTTAACCATTGGTGACTGTTGCAGTTGAAGGAGCTGTTTTTGCACAAAGCTCATGTGTGAGAGCCACCTTTTAGAGGTGATATTTAAATATGCACAGGAGTGACCTTTTACCTTTTACTAAATTAAACAATTGCAAGGACATCTCGCCATATCAGGCGGAGCAAGGAGTGTTTATTGTGTTTAAGACACGGTTGGGCAGTGAATGTTTAAGTGTCCTTCTGGTCAGGGTCCTGCAGCCTGCCTTCTCTCCTGGTTGCTTCCCTCACACGTCTGGTTTGCTCTGACTCCATCTGCCTTTTTTTAATGCATTTGCACTCTTGCAAATCAGTGGTTGGGCGGACACTCAATCACATCACTGCATTGGCATGAGGCATTGCATGCTAATAGGAACTAAGATGCCACCTTTAAACATTACTCTAGTCATTCTTCAGTTATGTAATTGTTGCCTTTTAATTTAGAATCTCTATAAAATGCATCTATATCCAATGCGTGCTACTATATTAGAAGTCCATGTTACAGTGTTTGACTGTCTTAATTTTGTTACACTGAGGTGTCTCGGATGTCATATTGATAACAACAATGCACCAACTCTGTGCCTTTTCTTTTATAGGTTGGTTAGGTGAATCTGCTGTGGGCCATGTGTTACTGGTGAGGTCTCTTCCTCTGCCAAAATGAGGCTGATGGTCGTCTTGCCTCGACCCATCCTGCCAGCCTTCCTGGCTCTTACCTTTGTCGCCTTCTTAGCTCAGCTGTCCTCAGGAGCCACGCCGTTCCCCCAAGACCTGGAACCAATCAGCGTCGTGGGCAGAGAAAGTAAGTTCAAAATCTGTTGTTGCCATGGTGATCTCTGTTGCAGGAGTACATGTAAATCTAGAGCGAGGGTCACTAAGGCATATCTCGTCACTGGGGGATATAGCTTAGTGAGGTGGATGTGTTTAAGGCTATGTTTGCAGCAAGCAAATCTGTAGATGTTTATTCTGCTGCTGGAACAGCTATAATTAAATTTATTTGTTGAGCTCTGCGCTGACTCGGTGTCGAATAAGGTCACTTCAGTTTTAGTATGCATGATTAAAAAAGGTCTCAGTCAGAGCGGAGGTGCAAACTTTTAGCAAATTTGTAGAATAATTTTGATGTAAAGTGTGTAGCGCTGTTTTTTATTTTTATTGCCCATGTATCTGATTCACATTAGGATACAGCTGGGTTATTTAGACTGTCCAACAGGCTAAACATTGTTTTGAATAATAAAACATTTATTGTATGTGGCATACAACTGGAGTGTGTAAATAATGTCTGCAGTGTATCATAAAAAGAACATTTTCACAATGCTCTCATGTAAAAATTCTTCTTCTTTGATTTATTTAGCTTGGTGTAAAAGTCAGCAGCCAAATTTCTCACAGTAGCTTCATTTAGCACTGACTATGAACAGTTGCAGGAAAAATGACTCAGCTGTCACTCTGTGGGGCTTTCATGTGTACTACTACTGACTGGTGTGCAAGAACAGCACTGACAAGAAATAAACAGCAAATATTTCTTTCCTCCCTTGGTTTAGATCAGAGTTTGGCAAACTTGTACTACAAAAAGAGCAATTTTTCAGTATTTTTTGCAAAGCAAAACAAAACCCCATCTGTATGCATGCACAACACATACATACTGCTGTTATAATGAAGGTGACAGCTGGTTAGTTTACTGACATCATAAACATTCTTCATTTTAATTTTCATATTGAGCTTTTTTTCCTGATAAACAGTTGGATCACCACTGATAATCAATACTTGTCCCTACCTAGGAGACAGTGACTACAATATGGATTTTTTTTTTAAGGTTTTTTTTTCTCTTTTAGTTAATATCACCTGACTTAATTAATGTCTGAATTGTCCATGCTCTTCAGTCCCTAATAATACCATAATTTAATTAATTCAAACACATAATAATGCTTTTTTTCCTGTAATCTTTCATATGAACAAAAGATTTTCATAGCACAACTGTCTCAGCCATATTCCAATGGCAGTCGATAGAAGCTAATAATGAATTATTACCCCGGCTCCACATGTTACCACAGCACAAGACATTAAAACTTCAGAGCTACAGCTGGAAACCAGCAAGTTTTTGATTTAAGAGACTCTTGAAGACTTCTAACAGACTCAAGACACTGCTCTGTTGGACCACCTTAGGGACCCATCTGTGGCACCCAATAACTGGGAAGGTCTACAGAAGAGGTCTTGGCTGCTAAATGTAATGGCCCATAATTGATTTAAGAGGTGGCTGAGACCATGGCCCACACACTGTAATTGATCTATCTGGAAGAGAGTAACGCTACCATTAGCAGAAATAGCTGTGCTAATAGTGCTATATGTGGAGCTCCGTCCCAGGTGTAATGAGAGCAATTTGTCACTTCTAGTTCCAGCAGGTGACAGCATGGCGCAAGGTCCCTCGCAACTCTGAGACATCCATTATGAATCATAGTACTTCGTCAGGATGAAGTCTATGAAATCATACCTAAGTGACTCCTTCTTTTAGAAAGCGGACAAATAATTTTTCTTACACTTTTGTTTTTGCCTGACACCGTGCTGTTTAAGTTGGGCATATTTAGGTTTTCCACAGCCAGTGCAGCTGATACAGGTTATACAGAACATGAGGCTATTAATAAAATGTCTAGTCTTGTTTAGGATGCATACACTACACTACCTATTTTCATGATTGGTTTCAGGCAGCTTTTTTGCTATTCTTGGTTCTGTATGATGTCTGAAAGAGGAACTTTCTTTAATCTTAGCATCTTACATACACAACCTTTTCCTTTGTATGTTAGAGGCAGCCTATCAAGAGATACTGTCCTTAAGAGGGACGTTGTTAAGGTTAACCTGAAATCTCTTGTTTCAGTCAGTGAATGAGGTGCTGCTCCAAGGTTCTGCATATGATAAATAAGAATTATTTTGAACAGTTTCTCATGCAAATCAATTCCAACAGAGTTCAAGAATAAAACCCTGCAGTTGGAAAAAAGGGCATAAAAGGTTCCTTTTAAAAGTTATCATTACTATGCAGTAGCAATAGCTTTTAAATATTGAACTAAGTCCTAGCAGTTATGGATAACATGTCATAACTTAACGCGTGTCCTTGACAGACTGTTTCCCCTTTCTTTCATTTGTTCTTTAAAATGCAATCTTTGAAGTGCAGTTTGGGGAAAACCTCTCAATACAAAATCGGCTTTACAGCATATCAACTTTACCTACTCCCATTGTCCATGAAGACTAAAAGCTAACCATCAAGATGGTCAAGAAATAACATTGTTCTTAATACTACAAGTGTTGCTGGAGCTTCAATGTAGGCTTCTGGTGTAGTTCTTTGAGTACTTCGTCTTATGAGTTGTACGTTCTTCTCGTTGCAGTGATCCTAAATGCCTCGAGTCATTATCCTGGGGGTTTTCTGCTAGCAATGACCTAGCCAAGCTAAACAGGGTGTGAAAGTGCTAAAGAGTAATTAGAAATCCTCATTTGCCAAGGGGGAGGATGGCAGGGCGGGCTGCTGAGCCACTGGGAGTCTCTTCACCAGACAGCACAGCAAGGTCCAGCACTCAGCCAGACATTAGGCATTTAAATCTTTAAACAGTCGATTTGAGACGAGTGGTTAAAGGAGCGTGTACGGCTCCCTGTAGAGAGACTAATTTCAGATTGTGGTGTATTTCTAGGGGGGATTGCTAATTCAGCAGCAGCCCAGGTCAGATGGGAAGCTTGAGGGCACTTAATACAGTACTTTACAGACAGAATGCCCTGGCCTTCAGCTGAATCTTTGCTTACCGGTAGTTTAAAAAAAAAAAAGAAGACAGCAGGGGAAGTATCTGTGATATGGAAGACAGCGTGGTGTCAGTATTGAGCCAGGCTTATTCCATTTTTGCCTGAAGGATCTTTTTTTAATCAAGTTTTTGAAAGGCATATCCATCCACTGGCTGACTGTTATTTTGTTATTTAAAGTACTGGACACAATCTCCCATTGTTTAAAATAATATTGCCCTCTAGTGAGTTCGTCTGCACTTTGAGTAAGGGAAAGAAAATGAAATTAACATGTGGAAGAGGAAGAAGGGGAAGCTGAAAATCAGCCATAGTGCACCATAAAGTTTATATTATATCACTGTTTCTTTGCACGACTTCCCTCAGTTCTTCTTATTTAACATTTTATGTTTGTTTTTTGTTTAATGATTTTCCTGTTGGTGTCATTTGTTATAGAGGCACTTTACCAGGTGAAGGTATTTAATGGCATTGATGATAACACTAAAGACATGTTCACACATGAACTTTCGGAGGTTTCGGGAGAATCGCGTTGGGATATTTTCCTTTCTCACACGTGTCATGCAGCAGTAAATGGTTTGCGTTGGAGTGAGTACATCCTGTCGTTTCTGTGACAGGGATGCATGCAGGAGATGGAACACGTGTCGCCCACTAGTTGGCCTACTTGCACATTCAGCACAATCCTGCATCAGACAGACCTTGCAATAAGGACCTCACAAGAGTATTTAATGTCCAACATTTGCATTTTCGCGTGCACTCTCCCTGATAAGTCCTAGAAAAGTTCATGGGTGCAGTGCATGCATGAAAACGGCTTAAGCTAAACTTTCGTGACCTTTGAAACAGGTGAGACTGATTTAAATGTGACAATTAGAATGTCTATTCAGATGTTTTTGATTTGTTTCTTTGTTCTCACTTGGCACAGTCCCCAGACATGTCTGCTCAGAAATGCTTACGAGGAGCCAGTTATTTAAATCAGATTGACTTCTACGACACGACTGCCTAATTTGCAGCTTAGGATGCTATTTTTCTCCCTGATCCACCTCCACAAGTGTGCATTTGCATACAGTGTGAGCTCAGGGTTTTCAAAAAGACGACTAAATTGTAACCTTGGGTTAGTGTTTCTTAAATTGCTAATACTACTGTGCATGAAATTTTTAGCTGTCGTTGTCAAACTGCCTCCATAAATGTGAAACTGAAAAATTGCTTTTTTTTTTTTTTCTTTTTTCAAAGGGAAAAAAACGCCACTGACATTTGACAAAGACTGGAAATCCCTTTCCTTTATTCCTAATTTTAGTTTTAAAATTTTGATTCCACGGTGAACTGTCACAGTAAAGTTCTGACATTCCTTTCCAGTTGGGTTTTTTGTTGTTTTTTTTTTTGTTTGGTTTTTTTTGTTTTTTTGGAGGGGGGGATGCATATGACTGTCTTATACTCGAATAATTTCTTCTTCTCCATCTTTTTGCCCGTGCAGCCTCGTACCTCTACCCCAGCTTCCAGGGACTCATGTCAGACAATGACACTGTCCGCCTGGGTCTGGATTTCCAGCGGATGCTAAGGATCAACCACATGCTCTATATCGCTGCACGGTCAGTCACCATCACTCACCTGCTAATTCAACATAACAAAAGATATAATATAACAATGTTTACATTGTTTACTGAAGTTGAAAATATGACTCAAAACATCTCATGTAAAACGTTGACCATTACTTCATGTTTAAACATACAAATATTAGGACTATAAGGACTAGGGATATTTTCATACATGTTTTTTACCAACCTACTGTAAAATCTGTACATTTATAAAGGGATAGTTAATAATGATGAATAATGACCTTACACATTTATATTCATTAGCATCCGTCTATAAGTCTGATACTATGTTAACATGTGCATGGTTGCACAAAGGCTTCAGTATAATAAATATTTTTGTGAGTAATTATAATCATGTTTCTTTAACCTAAACCTTTATCCACACACTTCTTAAATAGTTTGATAAGCAGCCAACAAGCTCTGAATAATTTATCTGAGTATATAAGCAACACATTTACCCATTTGGAGTTTTTTTGGGGGGTTTTTTAGCCAGTAAAGCTAATTAGTTGTTTTTGTTTTTTTCTGTTTTGCAGCAAAAACAGGGCAAGAGGTAAATGGGCTCTTGAAAGGACACAATGAAGAAAGACAAAATTTGCAACTAATTGTCAGGGCGGGAAAATAGCCCAGCAAAAGAAATCTGTGTCAACAGTAGAGATATTATATGTTAAATGCATAATAAAGAACTCCAAGAAGGCCAAGTGAAAGTAAAAAGTGATTAGGGGGGAAAAAAAACATGGCTACAGAAACTGCTTCTTGCAATTTTGCATTTATGTGAAAATGTAAAACTTCCAAAAAGGTAAATGTTTCCAAAATAAAACTTTTAGCTCTTTGTGAACTATATCTCAGGCAGCACTTCTGCATCAGACTGCTTTCATGTTTGCAGTTTGGCAGAACCTCTGAAGTTTTTTCAAGTGCATTACACAGCCTAATTTGCACATTGCTCTGCTACTCGATGTGTTTTAGGTTAATTATCTAAACAGTACAGGGTTGCACCTTCTCTGCCCAGTTGCATTGTGCAAAATAAGTTCTGCTATAGTGTTTGGCTCTATTTCAAAATAAAGTGCTCCCACTGCCAAGAACCCAGTCCAAAAAGTTATAGAGGTCCTATATGCACATAAACTGGCTTAATATTTTCTACAGCTGCGTGCAACAAATGCATTCCTCACTTCACAAAGTGATTCATATGGGTTTTGTCGATAGTTTGAAAACTCCTGTGATGTCCTGAAGCCAAAAAGCCAATAAACCTTGCCTGTTAATCCACCTCCCAGTCTGTGATGCTGCACAGCTGTAATCAATTGCACTCAGAGAAAAAAGGAGAGTTTTGGGGCAGGTTTTGGTGAATTGGTTAAGTTAGATGCTTCTAAAGCTTTGCATTGGGGAAAAAAAAAAATATGAAGGGTTGCAAAGAAAGATGACATCAATAATGTCGTGACTCACTTTCTTGCAGGGACCATGTGTTTGCCATCAATCTTGCAGCTTCATCTGAGCAGATAATCCCACAGCAGGTAAGTGTCTGTCTGCTATCATGATTGAAAATCTTCCAATGTGTTTACTTTATTTCGATCTTATACAAAAAAAACCAAAACACCATAGCTATATTCTAGTTCAACATAGAACTTTTAATTGATACATGTGTTTAGGTCGATATTCATTTATTTAAGGACATTTTATTTATCTTGGATCATGCACTTGCCATTTGCTTTTAAACCTTAACAACGGTCTGTGGATTTTTCTGAATGCAAAAACCTCACTTCAGAGGTAAATTCTTTCTGTAAGACTCTGACATTCAAGGAACGTTTGATCTCTCGATCCTTCGCGATCAATACCAATAATGTGAGCGTTATCAGGCTTACTCGACTATTTTGGTCTGCTAAAGTTGAAATAAGTTTTAGGATTCTGTGCTCATTAAACATAAGATTAACTTTAAAGTCGTTCACATAAGCGAACATGGGCTTTTACTTGCCAATAGTAATAGTCTGGATAATACATCACCGGGACAAAATAGACCTGAACCCATTTTAAGGAATGGTTTGAACCAAGGTAGAGCTCTTTGTGCCGCTTTTCCTTTCTTGTACATTTTTTGTTCTTTTTTTGAACAGTGGTGTATTTACAGGGGGGGATGGGCTGTTTTGTTTGTATCTCGTTATTTTGCTTTCTACCCTTTGCCTTTCACTTTCATTCAAGTATTAAGCAATCTCTCTTCAGACATCTATATCCACTACAAGTGGAGCGCTGCTCTTGTTTGAAGTGCCATGTTCACTCCTATCTGAATCTCATTTGTCAAACATGATTGCACTTAAATAAAAGCCCTCCAAGGCTTGGACTTTTGTTTGGTTGTATATAAATTACTGCCAAACACGGATATTTATTCTGATAACACCTCTGTTCCACACTGAGGACATCTAAACTATTGATTTGGGTGTGGAACAAAACACAAAGAAGGGGAACCTTTGAACAAAACTATGTTAGTCGTTTTTTCTACTGGGTTATATGAGGACTTGAACATTGAATGTGTGTATATGATGTGCATTTTTTCTCCCAATTCACCCATACTGCTGCTGCCTCCAGTGTGACAGCAGGAACTGAGAGGCAAATTATTAAAGACTGTATGAATACACCGCCATCACGTTCTCGCTGTCCTACCCTGTTATCCATCTGAGTTCAATTGGTGGTGTGTGACTGACTCATATCAGAAAATGGTGGGTCCCCCATCATCATAGATCCATTCCTTCATGGCGGCTAATTTTTAAACTAGCTCTTCATTTTTCACACCGGGCGCTCATTCGCATTCTCCCCTTCACCAGTCTCCCCGGGCCTGGGTGGCCAAAAGTAATTATTAGTAAACCGAATCGAGCGTGGACAAGGTAAAACCTATTACCATAAACGCTGAGTCCTACTGAATCATTTTGGACCTTCACAAAATCACCTCAGAGGTCTTCCAAACAAAAGTCTTTTTCTACAGCAAAGTGTTGGCTGTAAAATCAGTGTGCCATGTACTGATTACAAAATGATGGATTTGGTGTCAAAAATTTGACTCATGATCTTGAGTTTTATATAAAATGTGTTAGACCAAAGATGTACACCCTCGAGCAACAGGGACATCTCACCTTTAGAGTAAGGTTGGCAATGTGTAGTTTTCCTACAGACAAAATAATTAAAATGAAAGACCAAAAGCAGGAATGAATGACTCCTACTGTAAGTTGGATTGTCTGTATATCACAAATCTGTGACTTGTGCTTTATTTTATTTTTTTTAATCTCTGTCCTGTCTAAACTATCATGCATTATCCTGCTGCTTGAACTCTCATCCATAGAAATTGTGTGATGACTATTTTATATCCAGTGTGCTCAAGCCAAGTGAAAAAAAAAAAACAGGGTTAAAAATCCAGAAATGTAAGAGAAGTACTGAGATATGTTTTAATTCTATTTTTTGACAATGAGAAAAATGCATATTAATAGTAACCTTAATCTTTTATTCATTCATTATCATGTTTATCTGAGAAAGTGGAAATGAAATAATACTAACTTTGTAGATGTACCCTTAACAATTAAAATGCAAATCTATTCTTCATAAGTTTTGCTATACTGAAAGCTGTCCGAGAAAATTGAGAGGCAGCCACAAGAAATGGAGAACAAGGTGCCTGTGGGATGAATTGTGCTTCAGGGACTTGTGGTCCAGCTGAAGTGAAACCTCAGCTTCAGTAAAGATCCAAGATGCATTTTAAACCAGTGTTGCTTTCTGTGAAACTTTAGCAAAGACATAAAAAATATGCACGGCACTGTACAATATTACTTTAACCAAGTATGGCACTGGATTTGTGGCAAATATTTTCTTTTGGTGTGGACACATTTACCTAAAGCTCATTTCACTCAAAAATGTATGTTATTATGTGGCAACGAAGAGAACTCTTGGTCTGGATATCGACCGACTGCACAGAAATATTGAATACTTCAATATTGGCAGCCTTCCACTCAAGCTAGCCAATTTGTTCCCAGACAGCCAATTGAGCCGTGCAGCTCTTATCTGCTCACATGCTATTGAGAAATGAGTTTAAATAATTCCAAGTATTTAGCCTGGTATTGATAAGTTCTGAGAAAATTTGGCCACTAAATTAGTCAGCAGTTGATGGGGGAACATTAATCCTTCAGCTGGCAGAGCTTGTTAACAAGCTGATGGATCTTTTTCAATAAAAGCCTGCTGAACGACTAGCACGGCTACAAAAAGTGTATTTTGTCGTGTCTACAAAATAAGGACAGGGCTTTTGGCCAGCAGGTTAATTGAAGCTAATTGACTCCTCCTTATATAGACAGTGAAGTGTTGCGAGCAGCGCTTTGTGTTTTGTTTCACTCGTGTGTGCATTTTCACAGATCCAGAGATTTTTTTTTTTTTTTTTTCACTGAGGCACCACAACTGCCCACTGATGAGCTGCTCGAGCCGCAGCAGGCATCGCTGATATTTCTCTGTTTGCTTGTTTTTCTCCACAACAGTTTATTGAAATTAATGAGATTTTCATCACAGCTGTCTCGTAATAGCACTTGAACGATTGGGAGCAACAAAAGCTGGGATGGTGAGAAGCAGCTTGTCTTTGAGCTGACAGTTGGCTCTCTGTTCATTTTTCAGAAGCTGACTTGGAAGACGAAGGATGTGGAGAAATGCACTGTGAGAGGGAAAAACAGCGTGAGTATAATCTTCCAGACACATACACATTCTCATCTCGTTCTGTTTTCGGTCTTGGGTTTCACTTCTTAGGTCTTCTGTTCTCTGTATTTTCCTCTGCCTTCATTTCCTGAACAAGAGAAGCTTTCTAATGAGCAAAAGTAGTGTGCAGGTAGCTTATCAGAAATGCAGCCATCAGGAGAGACATACTTGAGTTTTTTGGCATCACATTTTTCTCTCCAGAGCAACGGTGAAACCACAAGAATCGCCCTGAGGATTACGATAATGACTGTGAAAACGCAGAAAACTGTTAACCTGCTACAACTCCTTCTTTGATTGTGTTTTTGCCGTGCCAGGACCCACAACGGACCGGCTTTATGATGTGCAATAATGTCCAGGTCTTTTTCTCCTGACAGGATGAATGTTACAACTACATCAAAGTTCTGGTACCACGCAACGACGAGACGTTATTCGCCTGCGGCACCAACGCTTTCAATCCCACCTGCCGTAACTATAAGGTAGGAAACCGTACTCCCGTGTGCCGCTGTCTGGCCTCAATTACAGATAAGAGATCATATTACAGCTGTTATGAGGTTCCCTATACTTGTATATTTTGTCAGCTGGATGCTGTTATTTGATTTGCTAATGGAAATGACAAAGTTTAAGCTAAACTCATGCCACATTAACACCTCACGGGCTTCGTGTGCAAGTCATCAGGATGACAGTTGAAACCTTAAATTCAAATTCAAATTTTATTTGTCTCATACACAGTACGATATGCAGTGAAATGCTTAGACAACTGCTCGTGACCTAAAATAAAAGACTATGAATAAGATAGGAAATAAATAGGGTCAATTTAACTAGGAAAGAATAAAATAAGACATAAAAATTAAAGTTAAACATAAAATAACTGTACAACAAAATACACAATACACAAAATACACAACATAGAAAATATATAAGAATATATGAAGAAATATAGAACAGTAAGAGCAGCTGTACGAGTAATAAGGGGCCATATGCATCACAAGCACTACAACATATTGAAGTTAGATGGCAGAACTTGAGTGATTGTGTGGTGGTGCTTGAAATCCTGTATTGACATCTGTGATAAAATATCTCATAGGTTTGATATTTGTTTTTATGAAATAGAAAAACATGTCATGCACACTTATGGAGAACATGCCCTTAAGGTTGGGTAATAAATAAATAGCTGGCCAGGGTGTCTTAGAGAATAACACCTTACAGCAGCTGCACCAGAGATAATTACAATGTTTCATCATAATATAATAGAGCAGTTTGAACAATTGAACTCTACAGCATGCTTACATTAATTTGCTATTAAAACTGGCCAAATAGATGAATTGCATAAAGTGGATTAAAATAAAGGTCAGGCATGCGTATGGAGCCCTGATTATTGTAAATAACAAGCTGATGCAGTACATCTGTAATAGTCAGCTAGAGCTCGAACAATAGATTAAAAAAAAAATGTTAGCAGCACTTGGGAAAAAAAGACATCTACTGTGATGTAACACCCACAAACACTGCCACAAAGAGAGGTCGTTCCAGGTTGAATGCAGCATTCGTCAGCTTTAAAAGAAGTCTGGCAGTCAGCACTTCAGCGATAATACAACAAACAGCTGTGAGCTTAAGCTACAGGCACGCCTAAAAAGATAACTGGAAAAACTGATTTAAGACATCAGCAGAGGCAGAGTGAACACGCAGGCTGAATGCAGACAAAATAAAGAACCAACTCTTAGATGTTGAAATAAACACACACAAATATGGAGCCCAAACATTTAAACATTAGCAGAGTATCTGTACTTAAATATTACTGCAATGTATTCCCATATTTGTGTGTTACATAGACTTCAAACTTCGATGTTGATAGAACAACGTGTTGGTAAAACACGAAGAGCAGACTGTTGACTGAACACAAAGTATGCTGATGGTGGCTTGATTCATACCTCTTAGACAGCAAAGCTGAATGAGTGGGGAGTGGGAATATCAGGGACCATAATGGCACAAAGTTTGAGGCAAATCCATGCTAGTACACGAGGCTCTCAGATGCACCTAGCCTCCCTGGTTACCCCTCCACTTTAGAGATAAATAACAGTGTTTATAGCCAGCTGAAAGCACTATATTTTAGCAGGAGCACAGGTACAATTTTTGTGCGGACAATGTGAGTGTAAGTCTTCCGCAGTTTGAGGACTATTGGGAAAAATCTGACAGGAAGCAGTGCAGTGGAAGCTCTGAGGTGATATCACAGCTCTGGACTGGGATTCACAGCAGGCTATTAGAAGAGAAGGGAGTAGACGTCCTACAGCACCGACTGTAAATCTAAGGGTGTGGGGGAGTCTGCAAACCAAAGAGGAGTTGAATAACTCTAGACTTTAGTTTTTATAGTTTTCTTCTTCTCCCCAGTGCGCTAACCCACAAAATAACTCCTGGGGTTTCCAACAGTCCACAACATTAGAAATTAATTAGAATTAAACAATTTCAAAATAAGGGATTATTTTGAAGAAGTATAATGGATCTGCTGTAGAGAGCAAAGTAAAAACGTTTTCTGATGGCTCCTTGTTTCCTGGTGGATGCATACTAAGAAGTGTAATTAACAATATTTAACCAAGTGCAGTGCATAAAGATAGCTGTTTAATTTCTTACACTTTTGTAAAACAAAAATAATCTGCCAGATGTTTAAAATGAGAGTTGCCCTCACTGCAGCATGATTATGTCTAGTTTTGGGAAATCATTCTACGGAAGTCATTCTACTGAACGATGCTCAGTCTCGTCTCGGGGCTTATAGACGCAGGATCTCCACAGGCTGATGTTTGCTTCCAGGATCAAATCCTGTCTCAGTCATGTCCTGAAGGTCCTGTAGAGAAGTTGATATAAAATGTTTAGAGAACTGCGTAGCGACCTACATTCACACATTATCATCGTCTCCCTGCCACAGACTCAATTTTGGTAAAAAGAGCAGCTTTACATTTTTACTAAAACACATCCACACGTTCGTTCTCTCTGCAGCCTCCAACGCCCTTTTTTTTTTCTGACAAGAGATGACTATCCACACAGCTGGGGAGAGAGGGAGGAAGTGTAAATCATATCAAGGAATCTGTCTCTGGGAATCCACGAAAAATCTGTGGAAGACAGTAGGGGATTGGGTCAGAGGCGTGTGTGTGTTGCTCAAAGAAACGAATGGATGCCCAGCCATGCACTGGCAGCTTGACTGACCAGGCTGCTGAGACAGCTGGTGTGTAGACAACAGTGAGGCTGTCTTCAGCATGCGGTTACGATACAACTAAACCTTGAAGCATCAAATCCGTCTGTCTTCATGTGCCCACTGGGGTAACGACCCTACAGTCACTGCACAACTTTGCTGAATCCTAATTTCTCTCTGATGTTCTCTCTAAAATATGTTTTGGGGGATTAACAAACTGCTGTGAGGAGAAGTTGGCTGAAAACTGGTGATTTTTATTCAGATGTAAACAGAATTAATTCTCACTTAAAGAGGACCAATCTTCAGATGATTACTGATTGGGAACTGAATGGGACTAACCATGTTTGTTTTGTTTTCTTTGTTCAAAGTCCTCCTGATTGTATTAATGTTTTCTTCTCATTAGTTACACCATTTAGTAACATCAGAATAACTTTCTTGATGAATTTTCGGGGTTCAAGGTTTCTTAGAGGTTGAAAGCTTCCATGGATGCGAGATTCCGAGTCTATTTTGGAGAATTAACTTCGTAAGTAATGAACAAATACTGTGGAATGCACCCAGTTCCTTGCAAACATTCCCAGTGTTGAAAAAAATGCCCCAAAATTGCTTCTTTTTAAAAAAATAAAAAAATAAAAAAAATTTGTTGCCACATTTCAAGGAAAGGGTCCAATAAGCATTAGAAGTTACAGTTTTGTCTTTACTGCCTTACCAGTCTTAAGTTAAAATTTTTAACCATGTTTGTTTATTTAAAGATTTTTTTTTTTTGAGAGGCATGTTTTTAATTTGCTTTTTCCTGTTTTTCTGCCTTCTCTGATTCGTTAAGCTGTAAAACACATTAACAGCACTTTATCTTTACTGCTGTTACCTTCACTTGTGCAACTCTTCACCTGTATTTTTGTGAAAAGCACTATTTACCAAATCTAATCAAAGTTCACCTTTTAATGCTGAACAAGAGGCACATTCAAAAAAACGAACTACAGCAGTGTAATTCTTTTTATTACTGCAACAGCAGCACAAAATAAAAATCTCAGTCAGAGCACTTGAAGCTACACCAAAGTGATATTTGGGGCAGAGCTGTTGTGCTGGATTACATCAGCTTCAGGAGTGTAGTGTAGCATAAACACATACTCTGTTAAGAATCTGAAGTGTTTTGTACAAATCCCTTGAGACATTTATGCACAATTTAGAAGGCAAAAGTCTATTGTAAGGTTTTGTCTTGCTTATTTTCTCCTCTACTGCATGATCTTATTGCCAAATGTACAGGGAGCAGGCAGCCATTACTCCCCCCGGAATTTTGAGTTGTTTTTTTATAGCTAAACTGGTGTGAACGAGCTCAGTCACAGGGTGCTGTTGCACCACAGTTAGCTGTGTGGCTGCGCTGGAGAATGGATTACAACCCATTTCCGGTCTTGCGTATTGCCACAAAAGCAAAGTCCGTAAAGAGTAGATACCAACCAATGTTCCCTTAACCTCAACTCATCGCGGCCTGGAACAGCAGCCTAACTCTAACTTAACCCTAAGCTTACAAAACATATCCGTACCTGACAGTGTGGACGTGAAGTGGTCTTCTCATGTATTATAGTCTCTTGGAAAACAGCACCTGCTGGGGAAAGTGGTTTACCATTTAAGTGCAGGAGAAAAACACACTGGCTTGTATTTTTTAAAAACAATCTCTCGTGGGGAATACTTAGCTCGGGACGCACTGAAACTTGTTTTGGTGAAGCATTTGCACACAGGGAGGTGGGTGCTGTCATGAAATGGGTAATGCTTATCAATAGAGAAAAACATGAAAACTGTAAAAGACATTCACAGTCCAGGCTGCCTGAAAGAGCATCGTTTTTTTTTTTTTAATATTCTGAATATTGTAACGTGCAAATATAGGTTTAGATAAAAGTTCTTCCCTTTAAAAAAATGCAATATATATTCCCCTAAATGCAGAGCATATGTCTTGTATTGCTCTTGTTATAGTTGTGTAACTGTTAGGTTATCATGTCTACTCCACATTCATGATCTCTCTATTTAGTTTTGTAGAAAGGACCGAGTTTGACAATCATCTTGCAGAACAACAATAGAACAGCAATTACACAAAGCTATGTGTCGAACAAGCCTGAAAAATCCAGGCCAACGTGTTTATGGACTGTTAACGCGGTGTATGTGTGTCAGTCACCTTGTTGACACAGAGGGCGGTGAAGTCGCTCTGCTGGGTTTCTCTTGTTGTTGTGTTTGAGGCTCGCAACCTTGTTAACAGCAGGGGCTGGAAAAATAGCAGCTTTAATATCTGTGCCTGAGAGATAAACTGGCCTCTCTGCTTTCACACATCTTTTATGGAAATGACCTGTATACAATACACCAAATAAAACTAATCTTTATGATGCATGTGTTGCCTTTCATTATTACACATTGATTTGATACACCTCCTTTGCGTCCAACTGCAATTCTCACTGCATTAAAGACTTTTGGTGTTTGAGGCTGATTGATTTTTTTTTTTTCTGTCAGGGCAGAAACAACCTCGTGGGTTTATAAGTGTAAACAGCGGTGTTGTTTTCTTGTTTACAACTGTCACTCTGTGTTTTATAGCCCATTCTTCTGTTGGGTTAGCTTTGAAGCTTTGTATACATCCTTGTAAAGCTGCTTCATTTCTGTCCTAGATGTCGACACTGGAGCAGGAAGGGGAGGAGGTGGTGGGACAGGCTCGATGTCCCTTCGAGTCCCGCCAGTCCAATGTCGGCCTTTTTGCAGGTAAGTAATGACCCAGATGATGTTCATACTTGAAATCTCACAGGTTCAGGTTTCTCACTGCTGATGATCTGTGCTGTGACATTTTTATTATATAGGTCAGGCTTGGAGTAATGTTTTTTTCTTTTTAATCAAACTAGCGTTTATTAAATGAACTTGAAGTCGGGTAAAACGATGTTCGTGGTGGACTATATTCAGAAGAAGTCACATATATTTTGCCTGTTTTGTTTTGTTTTTTATATTAACCTTGTGAAAATATGTTATAAATGTATTAGAAGGGGGTGGAACAATAGGAAAATGACGTTCATCTTTCAGAAACAGAAGAGGATGGTTTGCTAAAAGTAGGTAGCTGTTACATATAAAGGACCATTTCTAATCAATAGGCTTAAACGTGTAACTGCACTTGGCGTTCTGTCTCTCTGACGTGGTAATTGGATACTAAGATAATAATATATAATCTGCTAAACTGCATGTTAACTTCAATTAGTGCCTCATTGCAAGTGTGTCTCAGTAAGAGTCTGAGCTAAAAGCCTGAAATGTCGATATAATTGAGTATCTTGGCATAAATCATCAGATGGTATAATCTGAAGTTTCCTCTTCACAGATCCCGGTTTGTGGTTAGATTTACTGCTTTATGAACATAGCAGTGAAGCAAGTTGATACATTGTGAACACATCAGGATCAAGTTCAGGGAAGAGAGAGCCAAACGTACACTCAACCCTGCCAGGTTTCCACTGACATTTATGCAAAGTTCACACAGGCTGTTATTAAAGCTCGCATAGTCTCCTACAACTGCTCTCCTTAGCCTCCTTTTAAAGAGGAATAAAAGTCACCTGTGACCAAAATAGACACTTAAGAGAAGTGGGTTAGTGGGAATTGTGATCCTTGACTGTAGTTCTCGATAACTTTTTTCCTTTTTCTCAGGTGGTGATTTCTACTCTGCCACCATGACTGACTTCTTGGCAAGTGACGCAGTTATTTACAGAAGTTTGGGTGAAAGCAGCCCCGTGCTGCGTACAGTGAAGTATGACTCCAAATGGCTGCGAGGTGAGAAGCCAATGCAATAAGGTGTAATGTAATAGCATATCAAATGCAGCTGTGGCTCTGTAATGCCGTTGGTGGTAGGTTAAGGAAATGGAAGATTTTCTGATATGGTGTGGGATCTGAGACCTTGGTTCATTTCAGATGACATCCTAAATGTGTAAACTACTAAAATTCACCGAGCTTTGAGGTCTAATGCAGGGCTTATCAAATCTTGTACAAACATTTACATGGTTGACATCTGCAGGTAGCACTGACCTTTAAATTGAACCTTTATTTTGGAAGTAACTTTCTTCGTGTCCAGGTTTATGTTTTTCCACACTTTCGAGCCGTTACAAATAATTAATAAACATCGGTTTCATTTGTCAGAATCTCCCCTTCAGTTTTTATTGGCACTGATACCAACAAATATTTTGTCACTTAATGAGGGTATTTTTCACTTCATTGCAGATGTGAGTAGCCTCATCCAGTGAAGTGAAAAAGATGGCTAGAGTATCTTGACTTGTTATGTGTTACTTTCTTTATGCATTTAATTTCATCTGATTTCAAAAGGGAGGAAAGAAACAATCGCTTTTCCTCATCTGGGAGGAAAACGGAGCCAAATCAACCTTCCAGTAATAAGAATGTTTGATTGTTATCATCACAATAATTGGCAATTAATTTGGCGTTAATTGTTTTAGCTATATTATCTTTATGTGCAATAGATTATTTTTTTTATCCTCGTTAACAGCGCTGAGCGAGTGGGGTCATTTCAGTAAAGCAATTGCTTGTGACAAGATAGAAATGGCAAAGTAAGCTGTATTCAGAGTTGTAGAAAGTGCTGTTGCAGAATGTTTTAAGTTATCTTTATTTCACTACTGATGCAGGACTATCTCTGCTATTTCACCCGAATAAGGATCTGTTATTGGAAGAATTGGAAGGACATTTTTCTCTGCTAAAATTTGGATTTTCCATTTTAGAGCTCAGGCATTTCACATTTATCTACGATTTATAAACCAAATTGAACATCTGTGTTTACCAGCTCCACGTCCAGCCTGTCATACTGGAAATAAGTCATCATTACCATTTTTTTTTTCTTGTCCTCTACAGAGCCCCATTTCCTCCATGCCATTGAGTATGGGAACTACGTGTACTTCTTCTTCAGCGAGATCGCAGTGGAGTACACCACTCTTGGCAAGGTGAGGTACTCATTTCAGAGCAGACACTCCACAAATTTGTGTTGTGTGTTGTTTAAGCTTGTTGTCGTTTCTGCTCGAAGTCAACATGCAGAGCACATTCCTGACTGCTGTTCAGTATTCTGTGTCGGCTGCGTCTGAGTGTGATGATTATAAATGATTTCCACTCCTGTCCCCTCAGGTGGTTTTCTCAAGGGTTGCACGTGTTTGTAAGAACGACAATGGGGGCTCCCCGAGGGTGCTGGAACGTTACTGGACATCATTTCTTAAAGCTCGGCTGAACTGTTCTGTTCCTGGTGATTCTTTTTTCTACTTTGATGTTCTCCAGTCTCTCACCAATGTACTGCAGATTAACCACCGGCCGACTGTGCTCGGAGTCTTCACCACACAGGCAAATAGGTTGGCATTTTTTTCATGTTTTTTTTCAAGGTAAAGATGAAATTGAAATGTCCATGTTATAGTTAGTTAGTAGCTAGTGTGATAATTTCTCTCTAGTCACGTTTGTTTAATCCTCTTTTATGTGATCTACAAATTTGACCTGTTAACAATGAAATGTTACAGAATTCGATAAACAAAAACATCTTCGCTAAAGTTAATCCAGAAAATGTTTGTTTTCTGCGATGTAACTTACTTGTAAGGTACTACATGAGCGGTATCTCAGATGCTATCACTAGTAATATTTTTTTTCACTTTTCTGCGTCTTCTGGAACGTCGCTGAGCCAAAATAGCAATTTACACTATTCTGGTGCACTTTTTGGCTTTCAGTGAATGTCATTGACAAACAGGAAGTAGTTCCCTATCATGCTCTGCAGGTCTAAACTCTTACAGACATCACCCAGCAGAGTTGTTTGTGGCAGACACAAATGTTCAAATCAGTCTGATCGGGTATTAAAGCAGTTTAAGCAGCCAGCTTTTTCTAATTGAGAATAGATCAGTTATATGTTCTGCCCCCTGCGCTCTGCTGGAGCCTCACTATTCTCTGACAGAGAAAACTTTTGTTTTTGCGAGAAAGAGCAACATCTGATAATATCACAACGTGATTTTTTTTATGATTGTCTGGAGTTCATGTGTCAAAGCAGCTGGGAGGATCAAAGTCATTCACTGCTTTCCATGAAAACATACAGTACAAGCTATTAGTATGTAATTCTGGATGGATGCATTTTTAACTTCTGCAATATGGAGACTGTTCTGTTTTTTTTCCTTGTATCGTATCTACACTGTAGAGGGTTAGAAAGAGGTAAGAATATTTGACATATACTAGTAGTAGTAAAGACGAGCACAGACAGAGCAATCAAAAATCATATTTCTGGCCACTTGTGACAGGAAGTCAGTGGGCTGAATTCTTGTCTTTAGTTGGTGAATTCCAGACTTTTGTCTTGCTCTTTGTAAAGTCTTCTTTTGGGGTCCTTTTAACAGCATCACTGGCTCAGCAGTCTGTGCTTTCTACATGGATGACATAGAGAAGGCCTTCAGTGGTAAATTTAAAGAGCAGAAGAATAGTGAGTCAGCCTGGACACCTGTTCCAGAGGAGCAAGTCCCAAAACCAAGGTGAGAGACTCATCTTTAAATAGAAACTGTCACTTTCCTAGAACATTTTTTTCTGCTTTTGACAACAGAGCTTTTGCAGCTGTTGCTGTTATTGTTCTGCACAGACATCTCTTAAAAAAAGGCAGTCACACAAGGCACCTGTTTTTTCCTCCTGCTCCTCCCAAAAACAAACAGCTGCCAGTGTTTTTACATCTGCCTGTGGAACCAGATTTATGTCTAATGCTTTTTCTTTTTTTCTCTCTCTCTCTCTCGCTCTGCTGTTGTCGTGCAGGCCAGGCTGCTGCGCTGGCGAGGGATCAGCCGCCGCCTACAAGTCATCCACCAATTTCCCTGACGAAACTCTGACTTTCATCAAGTCTTATCCGCTCATGGACGAGTCCGTCCCCTCCGTCAACGACCGACCCTTTTTCACCCGCACCACCAGCAGGTAGAAGATTTGTTTCAATAAGAGAACAGATGGAAAGTATTATGAAAAATATTTTTGTTAAATTACTTTCAGTCACTTTCTGATGGCAGTATATGTACTTGGAATTCACTAACAAAAGGCAGTTGGCACCTGCCAGCATCTGCACAAACTTGTGAAGTGTTGAGTTAAGAATTACATTCTCCTACAGACTAAAAACATGTATGTTATGTTAACTGGTGGCTCTAAATTACCATAGATGTAGATGTGAGAGAGTGGTTGTGTGTTTATGTTAATGTGTGCTTTAACAGACGGGCGAGTTGTCCAAGGTGCTACTCCACCTCGGTTAAAACAGACAATAGGTTTAGCGTTGCAGGTCTATCAGACAGCTGAGAATTACAGAGAAATGCCTTCTATAATTATTTAAACAATAAAAACTGGTGACATTTAAAGGAGGACTTGCATAAGCTCTTTGGTTTCATTTCCTGTACTTAGTGCATCAACACCTGGAAAACAAATGCAAAGTTATTCCTCAAAACCTCTCAAATGGTCACGTATTTTTTGGTGAACGTTGTCATTAGATCACATTTAAAATCATTACCGTGAGTGTTGCTGTTCAGAACATGGCTGCAGTTATAAAACAGACCTTTAGGAGAAAATGCCAGGATTATTTCTTTGGTACTTTAGTGGCTGTTTGCCTTCACAGCATCATGTACCAGCAGTGTTTTTCTTGCAACCGTGATTGGTATTGATGAGTGACCTCAAGTGGAACACACTACCTTGCTTGCCATTAAAGCACATTGAATTTTTTTCAACACTGGATTTACATCAAACATGAAGGGGGCACAAGGAGAGGACTTGTCTGTAGGGCTGGCCTAGCTCCACAGCCCACCTGTCAAAGGGAGGACGTCATTGGTGTGTGTGTGTGTGTGTGTGTGTGTGTGTGTGTGTGTGTGTGTGTGTGTGTGTGTGTGTGTGTGTGTGTGTGTGTTGTGATATTTGAGAATCCACTCATACCAGATGACGATGCAGTGAATGTTAAATTGGTGAAAAGTGTCACAAGTGTTTCACGCAGTAGCTCACAAACCTCAGACATGTATGTACTCACAGCAGATCCATATCACCGATTCAACTTACAACCGCAGGCACAGTCTCATAGTATACAGGAGCCTTGTCCACGCCTGCTGAAGCAGAGCCAGGCTGACAGCCAGCCAGACACTGCAGTGGCTCCACACTGGGGAAACATGCACCGCTTCACATCTGGCGCCAAAAACATCACATCTGCTTCGCCTATCCCCAGAGTGATGCTAGATAAATGAAATCTAACCAGAAGCGCATCACGCGCTATTGCCGAGTCATTGCGGGGACGTGCCCGTCAAGTTCATGTGGGTAAACACACCAGCCTCTGTGGGACCATCTGGGAGGCACTGAGGGAGAAGTGAGGGCACAGAAGTTGCTGCGGGTGTCCTTTTTATAAGAATCTAGAAGCACTGCAATGCCAAAGAAATTATTAGAGGAAGTTTGTTTGTTTAAATCCCCGGGCCAGAGAATGGAAATACAGCAGAGAAAATGAATGAGTTAAGCCTATCCACCTCTCAGCCACCACTGGACTCAAGGTGCCCTTCAGCACAGCTTTTAATCCTCACCTGCTCCAGTGGAGCCAACAGTAGACAGCTGTGGTGATACTGGGCACCTCCCAGGTGTAACTGCGAGAAGCTGGATGAATATGAAGCAGGGTGGCACTCCAAATAAAGCAGCGTGTTGCTGGACTTTCACACAAATACAACCAGAAAATAGGAAACCGGGCCTCTGTGCAAGACTGCATAGAAAAGTGGCTCAACAACACAAAGAATGGATCGATTGAATGGCTCTGGGTGGGCGGATAGATGGATAGATGAATTGATAGGATGAAGGCTTTAAAAGATGTAGGCGATGAAGGAAGGGGATGGTGGGTTGGTAGATGAAGTGACTGATTTTATACTGATGCTTTATACAATGAGCTTAGTACTCACCCACTGTTTGTTTTGTTTACCACTGAAACTCTACTTTCATAAAACAAAGAAGCAATAATAAGATGCTAACCAGAGCATTTGGTGTTGTTGACGCCCACAAATTTATGCAAGCAAGTGACATGACAGCTTAAATTTAGATGATCTTCAGTGTAGATTTAAGTCGCTTTGTCTTGTTTTCTTGTTTTTTTTAATGCAGGTTCAAGTTGACTCAGATTGCAGTGGATACATCTGCAGGGCCATATAAGAACTACACGGTAGTCTTCCTCGGGTCAGATAATGGCCATGTGCTGAAGATCCTGGCCAGCACTGAGGGAGCCAACGCATCTTTCAGCACCCAGCTCCTGGAGGACCTTGATGTCTATAACCCTAACAAGTGAGACAAAGTCTATTATGTGTCGTGTTGCTTCTGTATTAAACGATGCGTGTTCTTGTAATTGTCTCTTTGGTTTATTCCTCTCTCTCTTTTCATTTCTTTTGCTTTCTCTGTACTTTACTTAGCACATCTCTGTTCTTTTCCTTCTCTGTTGCTTGTTCTCCTCCTCTCCTTGTTCTGCCTTGATCTGTCCTGCCCACCCACTCTTTGGTCTATTGTAACACTTTGCATCACCCTGTACAGCTGGAGGGGATGCTTTTTTTTTTTCCCCATGTATTCTTTTGTTTTCTTGCTGCACAGCTTGAAAAATCTATCTGCATGGAGTTTGATTCACAGTCGGCTTTCTGTATAATTTTCAGACTGAACCAGCCGTGTACAGCGCTGATTTAAAAAATGAAACGAAATACAAAATGCCTGATTGTGACAGTTGGTGTTTTTCCGTGTTCCCAGATGCAATGTGCAGGGGGAGGATAGGAGGGTCCTGGGGCTTGAGTTGGACCGGGATCATCATGCGTTGTTTGTGGCGTTCTCAAGCTGCGTGATCCGTGTGCCGCTGAGCCGCTGCTCTGAGTACAGCCACTGCAAGAAGTGAGTCAACTATACAGTAAAGCATTATCGCCACCAGAGTTTGGACAGAATATTATGCATATTCTGTATACAATTTTTGATACTGATCAGTATATTTTGTTTAAGTGAAAGGTCCCAAAACTGTGCAGTACTTCAGAAACCATGCATGGGTTTTTTGTTTTCTCGTTTTGTGCCACAAAGAAAATGACACTAACTGATCCAGGTAAATCAAGTAAAGTAAGATCAGTTTCCCTTAAAGCTGCCAGTTTAGCAAATGCATCCACTCAGAGTACTGGACCATGAAGCAGATGTTGAACTATTATTTCCCCAATTCTTAGAGTTGGACCACTTTTTCAAATAAGTACTATGAAGTTATTTGTGGTGTTGGCAGGTAAGTGACCATAGGAAAAAAATGAAAGGTTATTGAACCCATTAGCAATTTCGTATGCCTTCTACATTGGAAATTCTGTGTTGAAAGGTTGGACATTTTCATAAGCTCAAGTCGTCAGATTGCTGTCTGATCTTCATGTTTGAGTATACGTGGTCCATTGTTTATACAGCTGTAATAAGGAGAATTTGCATGTGCGAAAGCATGCACAAATGTTAACTGGCAAATTCGAATTTGAAATGCAAGCATACAGCATACAGCATACAGCAGCTCAAATGTAGTCCTATTAAAAATATTTTTTGCAGCTGTTTTTGTTTGTTTTAGATTTTGGAGTGTGTTTATACTGTACGCTGGCAAGAAACTAGATTATCCACAGAAATCAGAAAACACATTTGCATGCAGTATAAAAGTGTGTGTGCATGTGGAAAGTCAGTAATAAGATTTCTCCACTTGCTTCGACATTGTTTTGAGGGAACAAATGGTGCTCCTTTCCTGATTTTCCCTGTATTGAGAGAGCATAACTTTTGCTTTAGCGTTTGATGTTTCAGATGTCAAACGTTCACCGGTACAAAATTAAGTATACCCTTTCATCATTTTGTTCCCTGTCTTGCACGTGTGTAGCCGATGTTTAAAAGGCTGATTGCGTTTACGGCCAAGAAATCAACCATTTTAGGAGAACAGCAGGGAAAAGCTTTAAGCCCTCCACCTGAACTTTAGAGACTGCTTTTACATGAAGTTATTATCAGAGTATTAGGTTACCGCAGAATGGCAAAAAAGAATGTAAAACACATGATGTAAGTATTTCACCCATGTTACTTTCATGTATTACTTTTAGGAAAGGTGTGGTTACATCATTGGTCCGCACAGATCTGCTGTTTTTATCTGCTGCGATTTTCATCTCTGTGTTTGAACAGAAGCTTCACTGAATGTTTATGCTGCATGCTTCAGGTCGTCGTTTATCTGCCCCGGTCCCATTGCATTGAGTCAGTTTTGCTTTTATCCGTTTCTAAGTTTTCCAACTTGGCTTATATTAAAAAACTTTTCTTTGTAATTTTTCAGGGGTTTACTCCAAGTTCACGTTGCTTACCATTGCTCAAACACAGCCCGTTGTATTCTGTAATTTATTAAACAAGCCAAAGTAAAAGCTTTTGTGAAGGAACACACTTATAAGCAGAGCACAGCAACAGCTTCAAGTATCCTGCTTTGCCAAACTGCATTATAGCCTCAGCTAATGTAGTTGCTCCTCAGCTTCAAGGTCTATTTTTGGTGCTGTGAGGAATGTTGGCCCCTTATAACTCCCCCCTGTTCTCAGCCCCTTCAACCCAGAGGAAGGATTTCTCCTCAGCTACCCCAAGGAATGCATATACCCCCATAGCATGCAAACCCCTCATTGCAAAGGCCTGGAGAAGCTCTCAACATCATTTAGTCATAAATTGCATCCAGCTGATTGGCTGAGAGCCAGTAATGTTGGTCACTGCTTTCTTTTCCTGATGTTGTAAGGGAGAGAAAAAGGAAAAGAAGGAGCAGAAAGAAAATGGATAGGGCCTGTCTTACTTGAGCTCGTGGCCTTGCTGCATCCACAGATCCTTTCTAGAGACTTACAGCTACAGCACACCTCATCCTGGGATTAGCGTCCCCCATAAGCAGCATCACCACTGGCCAGGAGGTCAGATTTCAGCCACAATATCCTCCTTTACCACACCGCTGAAACAATCTCCCTCTAGATGAGATTTACTCCATCTCTCTCGTGTCTGCTTCCATTTTCTCTCACTCTTGGCTTGTTTCTCTCTCTCGCTCACTAAAACCAGTACCGTCAGGTTTGTTTTCTCACTCGAGGCCCTGCTGCCAATATTAGGTTTCAGAAAACGCTCTGTTTTGAAGAGCAGCAGAGAACTGGATGAAATGGGGAATTTTAATAAAACAGTATAATAAAGGGGCAGAGGAGGCCCCAAACCCTCAAAGTCTTTAGATCCAAGGATTTTCAGCTCGCTTGTCTATTTTCTTTATTTATTTATTTTTTAATATGAACTGGTTCAACTTGCTCATATTGTTATTCAGGACTGCTCTTAAATAAATGTATATCAATTGATGCTGTCACATACAGGGTACTGTTAATTAACTGAAGATGTAATGCCTCAAAGGGTAATTCCAGGTTGTTAAAACTTGGCTTGTATTTTTATAGCACTGGCTGTATTTTCTGTAACCTATGATGATCTTGTATTGTATCAAAGTTATTGCTGATATCCGGGAAGATTGCAAGTCTATAATAACATCCGAAAGGTGCCAGACACATGAGCAGTCAGGTTAATAGAAAGGCTTTAAATCAGACAGTCTAATCCCCCAAACAAGTCTCGCACATTAAACAACAAAACACACTGTAATTGCTCAGCAGAATAACACTTATAAGCCCATTCTTATTTCAGAACCTCATTTTTTTTCTTGTATAAGGTTAGAGAATAATGATAGTCGTTGTTGAACTATAGCTATGACTGCCAGTGGGAGGCAGTAAGCAGTCTCCTGTAATAAATTATCCTTTTTGCACTTCTTATGGGTAAGAGACATGTGAGTATTTTCACTTCAGCATAAATATATAATATGTACATTTGGTCTGGAGCTAATGTTCATCTTGGTTAAGAAGTTCATTTGACTTGAAATATAGTGGTTTCTAAAGCTGTGTCGCAGTCAGCACAAAAGGTCAAAGTTGAACTGTAATGGATATGTTAACAATACAGGGCCCTATTTTTTTTTTCTTTTCTTACAGGTAATCTGAAGAAAGTGTTGTATATGTGGTAAAAGGAGCTTTGAAAGGAAAGCGCCTGGACTTCTTTTGTTTTCCTTGAAGATGTTTCACCTCTCATCCGAGAAGCTTCTTCAGTTCTAAGAGCAACTGCTGGAGAGTCCCAGATTTTAAGTCCTATGGGGTGTCCCCCAAGAGGGCCATGGACCCCCTGTTGATCCTCTAACTAATCACACGAGTGGAGGTGTGAAAACGGGTGTGTGTCACCTTCACCCAGGGTTTTGGGTGAACCCACTGTGAAGTCTAGCCCCACCCTATCATGTGATTTCCTGAGGTCAAAAGGCCCAGGATGTGAGTGGGTGTGTGGGAGTGGTTAAGGCGTCTGAGCAGGGATCTCAAAACTGGATTATAGATGGCAGACAGGTGTCGTAAGCCATCGCCTCTGTTCAAAGATGATCGTTCACCGTGGACACAGATGGCTTCTTTCACTCCTCTTTCAAACCATCAGTCTTCTCTGTCCAAAATGTGAACACTGGCATCCTCGATATCGCCTCGATAATAGAAGTCAAAGAGGTCCATGAGCCTCTTGGGGACACTCCCGTAGGGCTTAAAATCTGGGACTCTCCACCAATTGCTCTTAGAACTGAAGAAGCTTCTCGGATGAGAGGTGAAAGGTCTTCAAGAAACTTAAAGAAGTCCAGACGCTTCCTTTCCAAGCTCCTTAGACTACGATCACCTGGATGACTGAGAACCTTCACAGACATGTTGTCCATGTGATGAAACCACATTTGCAAATGTTAAGCAGCATAGTAACTATTCAAAATGGTTAATATTACCTTTTAGTTTTCCATCAAGTAAATATACGTAATCCTTAAATAGTTGTTCACCAGTGACATATCATATCTGAAATCCTTTCCACTCAGTATTTTGTTATTCTCAAAATTTTGGCTGCATAACAGCTGGAAGTCATGAGGCTCAGCCTTGGAGGCCCTCGGCAGCTAATGGATGCCCCATACGCGCGCGCGCGCACACACACACACACACACACACACACACACCACAAAGTCACACACACACACACCACACACACCACACACACACACACACACACACACACACACACACACACACACACACACACACACACACACACACACCATGACTTACACATCACTGTGTTCACTTTAGTTTGACAGATAGAACTCTGAAGTTTTAAAGAGTGGCACGGGACACACACAAGTCTGTTTTAGAGAAACTGCACTTACGACAAAGAACAAATGACTTCACTGCACATCTTTTGAAATCAGAGCTGGAGAACTGACTGTGCTGTAGTGCTGATGGCTGTTTCTGACCTGTAAGTGTAGATGAATCTCTATGACGACGGTGAGAGGGGAGTTGGAGTCAGTTAGATGTGTATATAAATACAGACCCTATGGCGACTGTATGAATAATGTATTAATGCAGCACACAGTGTCACATATTGGCAGTCACACACGGGGATGAGGCTAATTTCAGGTTCTTGATACCTAGAGGGCTTCAATTTGTGATGCTGGACAAAAACAAATAAAACACTTCAGTTTTGGGGTTTTTTATTTTGGCATTTTGTTTTTCATTTCCCATGCATGTTGAAGTGTCAGTAGCCCTGCATTGAACACAAGCAAAACGAGGATTGAAACATAAGAAGACATGCAATGGTGTCTGCATTTTTAGGTTTTTGTATACCGTGTTTAGATAGACATCTGACAATGATGATTTCTCCAGCCACTTCATATTCTAAGCCCCTCCAACCAAGAATGATTCTCTTATTGCAAATAAATTATCCTTCAGAATAAAAAATATTCCAAGCTGTAAAGAAAAAGATGTTGGTTTACCATGTTTACATCATGCCTAAAGACACAAATACAAGTCTACTTTTGAGGTAAGCACTCAGAAATAGCCAAGTATATGACCTTGCCTAAACCTACATTAACAACAGGGCTTTTGTATTATTGTACTGTCCTCCCAAGAACAAGAACCGTGGCAATTGTTTGTGAAAATGCCTAAAGCGAGCGGTTTATATCTGTATGTCTGAATGTTTTGTTTTCTTGACAAAGCATGTGGATCGAGGGTGTTTTATGTTGCAGGAAAGGTAAAGATATAGGATATTGTTGTAGAGCCTCAAAGGTCCACATTAGGAGGAGGTCTGGGTGTTTGAATTAATCCACACAGCACACTAACTGCTGTTCTGGAAGACACTGACACATGACATCCTGTTGATAAGGGCATCAGCTCAAAGAATCTAATATCGGCTCTTTTAAAAGACAAAGACAAATGTTTTATTTTGTCACTTGACATTACCATTATTGCAGTGCGTTTGATTTAGCTTTAAAAAGTCATGCATTATTTATTTATCTTCCATTCCACGTGATCGTACATGTTTTTCCCATCAACCCAGTATGCCGATAATTGAAGAAAATTGTTGTTGTAGCAATTGGAATATAGTTACTGAATTTAGGATGGGTATTATTTTACATTCCTCCTTCAAATATATGATTACATGTATTGCTTTGTAAAGTGTTGCACTTAATGCGTATGACCTCAAGGTTAGGGATAGTTTTTATTGTCATTTCAATCAAGACAGAAAGAAAGAAAGTTTGTGTAATGCTTTGGCCCGTGTATTTATTTATACCCAGTTTGCAGCTGCAGATTGCACAAGTACTAATGGGAGAATATGTCCTGTCTTGACTTTCAGTTTTCCTGACCTGGCACAGTAATATGTTGGCACAGCTGCACACACCTGCATGTTCAGTTGAGACATCAGTAAATACTTAAAGATATTTAAAACGGGTCACAGGATCTTTGTTAGAAGTTGCTTTTTTGTCTGCCTTGAAGGTTTACTTGACTTGTTTTTCTTTTCTTTGGAATTAGGCTAAAAATATCTCTAAAGTAACTGTAGATGGGGAAAAGCAGGAGAGCATTATTGTTTTTGTCATTCTTTTTGGGCGTACTTTATGCTCATTATGTCGGTGCTGCTGGGTGAATACCACACACATGCAAAAAGTAAGCTCTGCACCTGTGAAAAATTGTGTTCATTCGCTCACTGACACCCAGTGTTGTTTTGCAGACACATACTGGAAGTATGAAGGCCACATGATTCATACAACACAGAGAGGGAAAATTGCATCCACAGACTTGTGCAGAATGCAGTGTTAGAGTTTTATCAACAAAACTGATGTGTGGGTCTCAAAATGGAAGAAAAGTACTGAATGTTGCAATGCTGCAGGGAGTTTTTACTGTAGGAACTGTGACTAAGTGAGGTTAATGCTGACTGCTATAAGAAAGAGGTAAACAGGTCCAGGTTTCTATACTAAAGCAAATAGTATCAGCTGACTGTTGCAGCAGTCTGCATGCCTCGCCAGCGTGACTACACTAAAATCTTGACATTCATCATATGTCCCTAATTAACTTAACCTAGCTAGATTTAGAATTGATGTATAATGCAAAACAAAACAGATGCTGGTTGTAACTTTTAACCTGTGAGACACGCAAAATGTCACAAAACCATTCTTTTATCCCCTAATGTCTATTTGTGTTTTTATAGCCAGATAAAAACAAGTCTACAGTCCAACCTCTAATTACAAACTAATCTGATTGCCATCTAAATTCTGTCTCTTTGTATGCGTATCAACATTAATTTCTGTTGTAGAGAATGCAGTATTATTGGAAGCAATAACAGGCATGTGATTAATTGTAAGAATAATTATTCCACCATAAAGTCGAAGCTATACTCTATTTGAATGTTATACATTATTTGTATAACACCAGATTTTAGAAGTAAAGTAGTGCAGCTCTTGAGCCTCGGACCCCCCTGTTTTTATGCAAATTAAATAAAGATGTAAAGATTTATGCTGCAGTTTCAGTAACTCTGCTTTTATTTCATCAATTAGTGCTGCTTGGTAAATGATGTTTTAGCCACACTTAAAGAAAATGAGGATGCTGCAATTTCATGTTAAATGTGTTTATTCAACTTATCTGTCTTTTCTTAATGAGACATTAAATGTTCAGCCATGTGGTGCAAACCAGCCTACACATGGAGAGTTCTTTACCCTTTGTTAGTTGAGGGATGTGGGGCTTTTTTAGGTTTGTGGCTGGGTAGTGCCTCATTACCCAACTAACATCCACTGTCTGCATGCATGCTGTTCTTCATGTTTCCTTCTATCATTAACTGTCTGTCTTTCTGTTATGCAGAAGCTGTTTGTCCTTACGGGACCCTTACTGCATCTGGCTCAAGTCGGGCAGCTGTGTCACAGTTTCACCTGGTTTCAGGTAAGTCACAAATGCAGTCAGAAACAATAACTTTTATAGGGCTTTAAAAAAAACACCATTATAATCATTAGGCGAGCGCTGACTTTGAAATCAATCAAAGCTGCTTCACTGCTGTGTTGTTTGTATCAGAAATTGCCAAAAGCATTTAGTCTAATGAGGTTCACTGCAGTGCTGATTTAAAATTATTAGCTGTCTGTTTCATTGCTGTGATGCATACATTTAATGTCAAGTGAAAGATCTTTGCTTGAATGGCAAGCTGCATAATGTAGGCATTTAATTGTTAACATTCCTACAAATTTTACAATCCTCAGTCATATTTTAGGCACCTGTGCCAGGGTCTGCAGCGTGTTGCTGTAGTGCAGTTTGCTCCATTACAGTCATTTTAGTTCTATGTAGAGATTCGGGATAGTAACTGTTTCTCATGCTCATGTCTAAAATTCAAAGTGCTCTGAGTAGCGTCTAAAACAACACCCTGACAGCAGAACAGTGCGACATGATTATCAGATTTGAAGACTCGGTGATTATGAAATGATACACATTTCACTGATTCACTGGATTCCAATCTGTTTGCATTATACTCAACATGGTCAAAGGTCAGCTTTGAGTCAGGAAATTTTGGTTAAGCACATTGTTAATTAAAGTTATTATTAATTGCTCTCTGGATGTGAGCAGTGTAGCTAAAAAACAAAAAGGCTACATTACAAATCTATGTATATGGTTATGAGACAAGTGCCTTAAACCAGCATGTTGTTGAATGGCTAGCAGGGGCCAGAAGTTGAATTACACAACATCCTATACAAAAAACACTATATTGCTTACTTTAAACATTAAACTACTGAGGCTATAACTTTAGAAAAAAAGTATTTAATACAAAATGATGCTAATTTTGTGAATTATAATCTCATTTAGAGTGAAATTCAGAATAGAAAAAAAGATATGAGTCACAGTCTGGCTACCCTGTAATTGAAAAGTCACAGTGTCCCTGAGTTTCTCAATCAGATCAACTCTGCTGTTGGTTTAGTCTCAGAAATCAAAGCTTGATGCTTCAGAACAGACGTCTGCTAACCACTAAGCGGTTGGATATTGATTCTGTGAATTAACTCATAAACTGATTCTGTGCAGTTGTAAATTCAAGCTACTTATTTTTTTATCTTTTACTTTGAATTCTAGTGGGGATTCAGATCTGTTGAAGGATACAAAATGCACTCATTTAAAAATGCCCTTTGATAGATACGTCTTTCTAATACCAGCTTGGCCTTCCAAATGCCTTAACCCTCTCAAGGCAGGCGTTGCCGATTTGCAACAGTTAAAAACTAACAAGCTGATTACCCCACATACATATTTTATGAGGTTTTTTTTACTCAGAAGTACCACTGCAGGACTTGGTTGTGCATTAGCAACAAAAAGTTTAATTTGAGCCTGAGAGGGTTAATTCTTTATGGCACAGATTCAACAAGGTCCTGGAAACATCCCTCACAGATTTTGCTCCATATTGATATAATAGCATCACAAAGACTTGTTGGCTGCACATCCATGATGCAAATGTCCAAATTCCAACACAACCCGAAGGTGCTCTGTTGGATTGAATTCTGGTAACTGTAGTGGCCATTTGAGTATAGTGAACTCATTGTCATGTTCAACAAAAAAGGTTGAGATGATTGAGCTTTGTTGACATGGTGCATTATCTTGTTGAAGGCAGCCATAAACCCATAAGACCCTTGTCCTCTGACCTCTGGCATCATCAAGGTATTTTCACCGAGAGAACTGCAGCTTACTGGATATGTTTTCTGGTTCAGACCATTCTCTGTAAAACCTAGAGATTGTCGTATGGGGAAAATACTCAGACCGATCCGTCTGGCATTAACAACTATACATGTGAACTACCTTTTTCCCCCAAATCTAATTCTCTGTTTGACCTTCAGTTTTTTTTCACGTTGTCTTTGTGGCTGATGACATTGGCTTCCTGTTATGCGACTGGCTGATTCGATATCTGCATTGCTGAGCAGCTGAACAGGTGTACTCAATGAGGTAGCATATCTTAGTAACAAATATATCTATCATTAACACTAAGCTGCTTTTGGCAAATGAGTGCTAGTACAAGGTGAAGCTATTAAAGGAATAAGCTGACCTTGGTCTTTATTAATTAAGGGTCATTCTGCAGTTTATTTCAGAGGGCACTGCAATGAACTGTTAGTTGACATTGGTTTTCAGGCTCCTCTTCAGTGAGTGGCGGTCTGTCCAAAACTAAAACATACTTTAAAAGTTAAAAGCCCTTCATGTCGTAAAAGTAATTTTCTGATCCCATCTATAATAATGAATCACCCAAACAAAATTGTGCAGATTTGCTTCATAATCAAACACTCCAGGAGGTTTCAGCTGTTAATTCTTCCCCGGACGAACATATAGTAATTAGTGGGAACCGCCACTGTGGTGTTTGGTCAGTCTGAAAGCACTTGGGAGGGCACAGCGATATAAAGGCATTATTAGTTTTTTAACTCCCAGGCACAGAGGACAGGTTCACAATTTAGTCAATAATGTGCAGCCAAACAGGAAGAGAAGCAATAATTTTTTTAATCTCATTTCACTCCTCAAGTGAGTTGTTGAACACTGCACGGATCAACTTGACCTGCTGGGGTGATGTGCTCTTGACAATCAATAGCTAATCTACGATGAGACAAGTGGGCAACATCAACGTGATGAATATGTGATCATCATTTTGCCGGACTCTCAACATGTCTCACTTTTGTTTATTGTACTGGATGTGTTAAAGCTGTGTAATTGGGTTGTTGATGGTGAAAATGTGGTGGGTGAGAGGCAGACAGGTCAGCAGAATTAAAATCCAAATATATTTCTTTGCCCTTGCGAACTGGAAGGAAGTTTGTTTTACGTGGGTTCTCCCCGGGTGCTCGGGCTTCCTCCCACAGTCCAAAAACATGCAGTAGTGGGGATAGGTTAATTGGCATTTGGAGTTTCTTTTAGCAAGTAAAATCCACGCATCCATCAATTGGTCCATCAGAGCTCAAAGCTTTTCAAGATTTGTGTGATCTTGTAGCACTGAAATAACTTGTATAGTATAATGTTCTGCTGTACACTCTCCTCCAGTTTTGGCTAATGAATACATCTTTACTCATAATACTTTTGGTGAGGCCAGTTTTTCCACACCTCAGTATAGTACTAGGCAGAAAAACAATTCTGGTGCCATTACTGCCAACCTATTTGGCTCTGCCATTAAAAGGAAAGTTAAGGTTTGCAGTAGTGCACCAGTAAAACCTGCTGCTGCAGCTCAGTTTGTGCTCCAAATTTAATCTACGCCCATTTTCCTCTGTCCCAGTATGTTTGAATATTAAGACAAAAATTTTTATGTTTCATCTATTTCTGTTGTGTGTTCCTTCCCGGTGTAAGGGAGTAGGCAGTTAAGATCTTGGGAGACACTGGGGCACTGCATCTGATTCTCCCTTTCACTTTGATGTGTGATGTGGCTACAACTGTTATGCAAGAACACGAAATTGAACCTAGCCTGTGGTTTGGTTACTGGAGAGGTTGCAAGGTGTACCCGGCACTACCCGTGGAGGAGGTCGACATAATTAAGCAGAGCTGGCGCTTCTCCCGTGTGGCTTAGGGCAGGAAGCAGGATGCTGTGTTGATTCATTCGGTTTGTTTTGACAAATAAAAAATGAAACATGATTAATTTATTTGCAGTGATGCTGATTATAGGACCTCAAAAATGTGCCTCTAAATTGACCAGTCTTTGTATTTGTAGCTAGACTTTTATGCTGTAGTGTAATTGCTAATACAGGGTCTGCATCTAGCCTGTGTGATGTATGACTGATGTTATCAGCATGACTTTCTCCGCCAGATGTTTGGCTGGTTGCTTGTTCAGCAAGCCAAGGTGTAACACAAGATTGATGGAGTTCATATTCTTTCTGTATTGCATCACAGTGATGGGTGCGTGAGACATTTTTTTTGAACACATATATATTTATAATGTGTAGTGTGTGGAGAGAAACACTGCAAGGAATTGAAGTTCAGGTTCAGAAATGGTAGTAGGAGACAATAAAGGAAAATAAAAATGGAGCAGGGGAAAAACTTTTTGCAAACTTTCCAATACTCAGATTGAGAAAGAGTAGCAGTCTGGTTAATGCATCAAAAGCCAGTTCCATAATAGAGATTGAAAATAATAATGTCATAGTTCTATTTAAGGACGATCACCTGAGACAATTTTGTTTCACGGCCACTGCAGACCACTACTGTATGCTGTAGGAACAAAATACGCAATGCAATTTCAGTTGGACTCTAATGTGCAAGCAACAGGTCGGCCATTGCCTCTGTTTTCTTCAGACCCTTCCCTCCCCCTCTCCTGAAGTCTGGGCCATAAAATCAGAAGTGATGTTCAGCTGCATGTGTTTCAATCATGCAGCCATGTACCGCTCCGTTTGGTAAAATAGGGAAGAAAGATGGATGGCTGGTTGGTTGGATGGACAGATGGATGAATAGGTAGGCAGATAGATGGTGGTAATAAAGGCTAGAGGAGGAGGGGTAGGAGGTAGGAGTAAGGGCAGTTAAAGGTACTATTTTCTTCTCCTGACAGTCAAGGACTATGTGCGTCCCTGTGTGGTTGATATACAACCTGCTGCTAAATCACCTCGCCTGGCGTTTTTTTTTTTCCCTTCCTTTCTTACCTCTCTGTACATGGGTTGTAAACTGTTGTGCTTGGAGTTTGCTGTAGACTGACATCGCACTACATTTGCCCCTGTCTCGCACACAAACACACCGAGGGAGAGGAAGAGAGTGAGAGTGGCACTCTCACTGTTGACTGGCTTCCAATAGATTATTCTGACGGCTGAAAATGTGCAGCTCTGGAATTATTGCATATCTTCTGCTTGGCCACCCAGACATATTACTTTCCCTGCCCTTGCACGGACAGAGGCTAATGGGATTTTTTTTCTAATTCATGTTGCTGTGCGCCACGTTATATTTGTGTATTTGAGAGAGCCTGGTAT